GGCTGCTTGTCTTGCCTTGACTATCGCTGCTTCACTTCTCTATTTGCTTCTAGAAACCTACGTGTGAAACAGTCACACGCTAAGTCGATGACTTAGTGAGACATATAAAATGTATAATGTGGCTATAACTCTTAACAATTAATGCATACTTTATACTATCAAATCATAAAACCTCGTATACACATTCATGTAACAAATATATACATACACCTATATCATCATATCATATAGTATTGTATATTGTTTCATGTTCATATAATCATTTATTTTACCTTACTCATCTTATATCACATTCTCTTGTTATCCTTTAACTAATTTCTTTTTCATAATTCTTAATCATATAATAATATCTATACTATAGTCATCTATTTTATCTCTTATTTCCATATACTTCTATTTATCATATAACCCACACTCTTATTTCATATTCTATATTATATCCTTATGTACTAATTCTTTATATTCTATTAGTTCACTTTCACATAATTTACAACATAAACATATTATCATAACTTCTCATAACTTAATTCTTATGTTATTCTCATATGACTTCATTTCCTAGATCTATATATTGTGTTTTATATCACCTAAGAATTTAACATGTTTTAGATCACCATTCCATTGAAACCTGTAGAATTTCCTATATAACTTATTTATGTACATATTTCCTATTTGATGTACTATTTATTTATCTCAATTATTTTATTTAAATTCTCATTTTCTAATATAATTCCATTATATTAGTTCACCTATAAAGTATATTCTAACCATACAATCATAATTATTCTATTAACATAATCCTATAGTTCACCACTTTATTACATATACATATACTTATAAAGTTCACATCATTTCTCATGTAATTACTTGTAACATATCATATAAGTTCATTTTATTCTCTTATATTCAAATATATCATACAAACATATTTCACATAGAAACTATAACATATACAACACATGCAACCAACATACTCATATCAAAATGTGCAACCACATATAACAATTATCTCAACTTATTTATATTATATCTTTATTAGCCCATGTACATTTGTGAGAACTTAAGGTATGCGAGTACTTTCAGGTTGTGCACATATGCTGTCACCACAACTCGTATAAGGATCCATTGAGTGGCATGTGAAATATGTCTTGAAGGACCTATGAATATGTCCCGAAGGACCACATAGAACCCTCGACTCTTGGCATGCCAACTATACCTCTAGTTCTCATGACACATAACATGGGCCTTATCATTTATCTTATTACACATTCACACCTTCATATCACATAGTTCTTTCACATAGCTCTTTATTACATTTTCATATGATCCCATAGTCATGTAGTTTACTTCTATATAATTCACATGTCTCATATACTTTTTCTCATCTTCATATAAACATATCATTTCATTCATAATCTCATATCTTATGTTCATATCATATATCTTATAATAAATTCTTATATTATCACATATGATATTTATACTCATTCACAATTACACTAACATGTACTCACTTATATCATATAACATATAACACATACAATCATATTCAACTATTAGGTCACACACAACAATCATATCGACACATGCCTCTATTCATGAATTCATGCATCATAATATAGGAAATAGACTCATCGCAAGTCTTATTTTCCTTAACATCATATATCAACTAATATGCACTCACCTAGCCTCACTAGTCAATACCAATTCCCTATCTCTTCTTGATGGCTATTACTTGACACCTTGTCCGGACATTTCTCTCGATTGATATCTACACAATCATACGTATAATATACATATCAACATTCCACTTGTCATACTCTAATTTTCATTTCTTAAACTAAAAGAAAGATCTATTTTCATTTTCCTTTTGAAGTGTATCGATACACACTATAGGGTATCGATACATCCCTTCACTGGTGTATCGGTACACTGCCTATGTATCGATACACAAATTACATTCAAAATTCTTCGTTTCAAGGGGGTATCGATACACTCCTTAATGTATCGATACACTCCTTAATGTATCGATACACCATGAAGATGTTCTTCAAAATTGGTCTTAGTGTATCGATATCTGTTCATAGTGTACCGATACACCCTGCCAAGAACAAATTGTTTTACCCAAAAATTCACTCAAACTTACTTAATTCTTCTTCCTTAACTTTCTTTTAACCCTTGAGACTTAACTATACTTACACAAATAAACTTATTTCACTTTAACTCATCATAACATCCCATATCCCACAACATGCTTGGATTCAATAATTAAACTAATAAATCAATATGTTCCAAATTAATTTCTATCATTCCAAATTTCTTATTTTGACTGATGACAAGTTAAATTCAACTTCAAAATCTATTAACTCCTTCTATTTCAATAATTCACTTAAAAACTCATTTTTCTTAATTTCTCATAACTTCTTAATCTTTTAGTTTTAAGCCACTTAAAGATTCTCTTAAGCTTTTTTTTAATACAACTAGAATCAAAACTAAGCTTAAAACTCAAGAAATAATCATTTAACCAAAAATCACCTTAGAAAATGGAGCTCACAATAGAGAGGAGGAAGAAGAAGCTCATCTCCATATTTTTCCTCTTTTCTCTCCCATTCCCACGTGTATTACCCCTTTAAAGAAAAAAATAAAAATATTCTCTTAGAAAAGACCATAATACCATTATTACTTTCAAATTTTACAAATTAACTCCAACATTAAAATTCTCCAATAAAGTCCCTAAACTTTTAACTTATTTCGAAATTAAGCACCAAGTTTTTAGAATTTGCATTTTAGTCACTGACCCGGCTTTTGAGATGTTACAAATATTCTTCGAATAAGTTCAAGAACAACGATTTGTAGAATGGGCATGGATAACATTGCTTGATTGAAGTAGTGCGATCCGATACAACATTCGAATAAAATGAGAACTTGAAATAAATTTAAGTTTTTTTAATCGCTAATTAGTTTGTTTTAATTCAAATAATGAAATGTCTGATAAAGTAAATAACAATTTATTTTGTTGCATGCAAAATGTCGGTTTTTGAATTTATATTTGATTTGCATTTTTTAAAATCAATGAGGAAGGAATATTCTTTTACTGATAAGAAATAGGTAAGATAACTTTCCCGATGAAGGATTGCTAATTTCGAGATTTCTTTTCAAGTTAAAAAATTTTCCCTAATAATATAAATAATTCGATGTAACTTAATAAATTGATCATTTTTTAACTTTATATTCGATTTATAGTTTCCACCATTACGACAACGTGCAAGCGACTAAGTACTAATATTTGGGAGCAGTGAGGGTGCTAATCCTTCCCCCACTCGTAATCGACTCTCGGACTCATTAAATCGAATTTTTGATAAACGCATACCAATTTTTGTCTTAAAAACGATTTTTCCTTAAAATTGTTTTAAAAGATGATTTTAGGTATTCGATCTATCTAACCCAAATATCGATGGTGACTCCCTATTCAATTTAATCCAAATCAATTCAAAATGCCAATTTTTCAAAATAAAAGACATAATTGTTTTTTTTAACTAAATTGTTTTTCAAAAAATGGTTATGACAATCATATTTTGATAGTATTTAATAACATTGTTGTTGATTTCAATGTTTCAAACATTAATTTACGACATAATGTAAACAAAGAGTCGATCCAGAAAATACAACTCAAACAGTTTTGAGATTCTATCATATCTCATAACATCCAACTCAGAAAATCAGTATGGAACAAATGAATAGTTGGATAACCATTTTATAATTTTTAATAGTCAGGAAACTCAACAAAATAACACCCTCTAATCAAGAGACCATTTCGTAACTTTTCATAATTAAAGACTCAACAAAACAATACCCTAAAATCAGATGACCATTAGTGTACTTTATCCTATATTTTAAGGTTTCAGATTTCCTTTTAAAAGTGAACTTATCATGAATTGATCTTTGAAATTTTTTCAAAACTTTTCAAGCAAAATTTCACAAATTTACAAATCATAACTGGATTTGAACAAAACATCTTAATGAAATCTACCCAATGTGCGTCTCCAATAGGTGCCCGGCATCTCAATAATTGAAAATGGATACAAGGTTAACGATGCACCAGTTGATGACTCTCAAGATTCAATTCTAATGGTGAAAAAATGTGGTTCTAGGTTAGAATTTCATTGAACCGAAGTAGCCGAAAAAAGCAACTGAAAGGAACAAGAGAAGCTCTCAATATCTTTAATGGACGTTTAGAGAAAGCATCCTACAGAAACAAGAGCAAACACCTATAGTACTCAAACCCTGTTGTAAGTGTCCAACATTATATGGCCATATATCAAACATGGATGTGTTAAATTTTGTGTTTTTCTATATATCTAGTTATTAGAAAATCACACCTCTATATCTATGTTTAAAAATGTCAAACGCAAATGTTGAGCATGAATGTTTTAAGAAAAATAAAGAGTCGAGGCAAGGTGTTTGAAACAAAACATGGATCCTTAGAGAAAAGGATCAAAAATGGGAAGTACAACAGGGAACTCATATAGAGAACTCGTTAAATTTAGAGTTGTGTATGTAGGCAGATGAGGAACTAGAAAGAAAACTGACCTTCCATTGGTGAAAGATTGTACCCTGACTGGTCTAGGAAGAGCATTGAAATCATCTCCACATTCTGCCTTATAAGGTCAATGGGAAGTGCATCAACAAGGTGTGCCTTTACACCAGAAAATTTTGGTCGTGTCTGGAGCCCCTCTATTCATAGCCCCATTTTAAAGGTGAAATCCACTAATGGCTCTTAAATGTCTACAATGCTTTTCCAGCATCTTCCCTGAAGCTATGATTCCTTAAACCTGCAAAATGTTGCAACCAAAACTTCTTCTGAAGGCATGGAAGCACGTGGGGTGAATGTCAAGAGAAGAGGTCCCAAAGAGTTTTCAACTTGCCCCTGCTTATGATAGAATGTACTGTATGAAAGCAGTAAAATGTAATGATAAGCCATGATTAAAAAAAACCCTTTCGAAGAAACAAAGGAGTTGAGCTCTAAAATGAAATTCATAACCATTTCCATTTCCATGTCAGTTCCTTTTTCTTTTTGGTTTATTTTACATATGATAAGGGTACATAGAACAAGGTCAGAAGCATAATGGCTCAAACCACAAAATCTATCAGCTAATTAATACTAATCGTACAGTTCCAAATGTTGACTCAAATTTTTACCACGAAGAGCATTCAAATTTTTGACGAGCCTCGGTCAGCATCCCCATAGAAATGACGAAATAAAAGCATCATCTTTAACAGGTTCCAAATGTCCGGTAACACTTGTGCTGGCACCAAACGAATTCGGATGGCTACCACATACAACAACAATCAGCAGCTCTTCTCTCATTAGCCTTAATAATATTATTCAATCAATCACTTGGGTCTCTCAAATGAAAGAGTTGGCCAAAGTAATTAAATCCTATTACTTCTTCCGCTGCTTGCGGACCTTCACAAATTTTCTGGTAGACTTGTCACCACCACTGGTACCCAATGAGAAGCTCCCTCCAGCACCAAATTCCAGACTACCAGAAGCCAGAAATGGAGATGGATTCTGTGGTGCGGCTATGCTTGGTTGGCTTCCAATATGAAAAGAACCTCCTCCTGATGGATTTGATGCACCGAAAACAAACCCAGAAGCAGGTGGTGAGATTGGCTGTTGACCAAATGGCGCAACCGTTGGTGAAGTTTGAACTGTGTCCTCAGCCATACTATCTTCCATTTGATCATTATTAGTAGAGGGTGCTGACCCAAACACCAACCCAGGACTAGTATTGCCAAATGCATGCTGTGATGGAGTAGCTGCTGAAGCTGAAGTGAACGAAAATATGGAACCTGAGGAGGCACCGGTGGATGACCCAAAGATTGAAGGTGCACTGCTAGAAGCACCAACAGAAGATGATGATCCAAAACCAAATCCTGATGATGAAGAGCCAAATATGGGTGTCATAGGAGCTCGCCAATTCGAGCCAAATGCGCCAGAAGCAATGCCACTGCTAGAGCTCAGAGGGTTGGTTTCTGAAGAGGAGGAACTTACTCCAAAAGTAGCACCCGAACCAAAAGGTTTAGCAATGGATGCCAATGACCCAAACATTGAACTGCCAGAAGAAAAGGTTGTATTCCCAGCCAATTCAAAGGATGGAGATGAAGCAGATGAAGAAAACTGAATGGGCATGCTTTGAGTTGAGGTACCGATGCCAGTTCCCACAGCAGATACTTGGGTATTAACAGAATTGAAAGGATTTAAACCCTGGGTCTGGGTAGTAGATGTAGATGCAGCTGTAGCACTGAATCCAAAGATGTTGCTTCCAGTGCTCATGATTGCAGATTTATTGGAAAAGATACTACTTCCTGTACCAGCTATTGCTGAAGACATACCACCAAAAGTACTACAGCCTGTGCTTTTAGTTGCAGATGTACCACCAAAGATAACATTGCCTGTGCTGGTAGTTGCAGACGTGCCACCGAAGATACTATTGCCTTTGCTTGTCACTGTGGAAAATGTGTTGCTGAAAAAGCCACTTCCGGAGTTCGAAATGATGGAAGATAAACCACTGAAACTGCTAGTTCCATAGCTTGCGACTTCAGCTGTTGTACCAGCAGTGCTGCTTGCAGCACTTTTAACTTCAGATGTACCACCAAAAATACCACTTCCAGAACTAGTAAAAGCAGATGTACCACCAAATGGAAAGATCCCTACATTGCCAACACTTGTATCCTGGGTCTTAGATTCGGTTGCTTCCCCTGAAGTTGCTGGTAATGTTGAAACTGAAGTTGACGGGTCCGCAGTGGAAGAAAACTTGAAAACAGGTGCAGCTGTAAAGTGAGGGATCGAAGACTCCACGGAGGGGTTGCTGGTACGGCTGATGGTTACATTCGCAGATGCACCTGCAGAGGTGGTGGCAGCAGCAGAAGCATCACTATTGGTGGCAGCTGCACTGGATGAACTTTGACCAGTACTTGGGACTAGAGAAGCCACAGGTGAAGAGAATGAAAAAGGACTTGAAGCAAGAGACCCATTATTTAAGGTAGAACTATCTTTTGAGGCACCAAACTTGAAGATACTTCCAGCTGATGTCGAAGTTGATAAAGAAGAGGTGATTGCAGCTTCAGGTGTCCTACAGAAGATCTCATTCATATTGTTCTCCTTGTCAGTTTTATCTGACAAATAATTGGTAGTACCAGGAGCAGCGGCAGTAAAGCTGAACATAAGGCAACAAAGCTTTTTAAGAAGAGTACCCCAGGAGGGATGAAAAACAAAACAAAACAAACTAGATATACATTAGACTATAACAGTTAGTCAAATGGGCAACATACTCCAATAAGATTATGACACATCATTTATTTGACTAACAGTTGACGTCTTGGGTGCAAACAGATGAATGACGACTTCCAAGTACTAAATTGCAAATTTTTATAGTTTAGGCGCTAAATTGGAATTTTGATTACACTTTTGCCACATATTATCAGAGAACCTCACCATGCAAAACTATTTATCATCAAATGGACCAAATAAATAAATAAATCCCAAATTAAAACCTACCATCTTGGAAGTCAGCTATATAATTGATTCTAATGATGCTAACTATAATCAGCAACATAAGATTTATAAAAATAAAATTCAGTTATTAGAAGCTTTAATCAATCTATGAAGAAAGTTCTCCCATTCTTTTTTCTTCCAAACCCATTTACAAGTTTGAAGGTAAAAGAAAGCAACCTGATGGGCGGAAATGTAAGATGAAAATATTAGCACAGAAACAACTTCCTTTTACCTTCTTTGACAGTGACGAAGACCGTAAGAGAGTTTTATGCATTGTTGACATGAAATCATCATTAAAATCAAATTTGGGGGATAAAAGGATTATCATAAAAGAAATCATCAAAAGTTCACTAGACCATAATCAGGTGGATTAACGGAATTGAGTAGCCATGTTATAGGGGAGGTGGAGGATTTACAGTATTTAATAGTGACAAAGAAATCAGTTGTTAACTGCATCATCAGGAGGATTTACACAATTTAGTGGTGATGTTATGAGGGAGGTAGTCAGGTAGCAAGGGTTAGATTTACCTCCAAAATCCGCTCTCATCTTTTATAAGAGCTGGACCATGATTCAAAAAAACATTTACACCCAGTCAGTCAACTCACTACTAATCTACTCCATTCAATCGGATAATAGTGACTCTACAGCCAAGGATTAGATTCACCTCCAAAATCCCAACCGATCCTTTTATAAGAACTCTGAAACATGGTAGGGCATACCTTTTAAAGCTTTTTCTCCCCTTCAATCAACTAACCACTAGTCTACAACTTTTAACCATTATTACTAATTCTACAAACAATGCCCGCATTGGAGGTATAGAAAGAAAGGGGAACAGAACACAAAGTTAAACAACCTTCCAAGGGAAATTGAAAAATTGATATACCAACCTGCTTGAGTTCTCTAATTTTTGGTTTGAACTTGTGGCAAGCTTAACACCTGAAGATCCAGTAACTGATGAAACTTCACCAGCATTTGTAGAGGCAAAGCCAAAAGTAGTAACAGCCACATTTGATTGTTTTGCAGCCGAAACTTTCTCCCCAATGATAAGCATACAAGGAGCATTTGGGTGTGAAGAGACAGCATCTTTACTGGCAGTTAGAGTTGATGGAGATGCCACAAATGCTGACTGCACAGATGAAGTGGCCATCTCTACAACTGGAAAAGTAACACCAGCATTCTTTTCACTAGCTGTGGATCCATCAGATGTTCTCAAATCAGGTCTTTGATTGAATGCAGCAATTGAAATGGGTTCAACTTCATAAAAAATAGAAGGTTTCTCTATAGCTTCAGCAACTGCACTCGTACTCCCCATGACACAGTTATCCAACCTCCCTCTACCTTCAGCATGCGTGGATCCATTAGGATAGTTATCATCATCCAGATCCAGATAATCCTGTAGCAGAAACCATAAACAATAAGGTGTTAAAATGGAAACAGAATAGAGGAAAACTGAAACTTATATATATTCATTCTCAATTCAAAAGGAGGCATTTAATAGAGCCTGATCTTGTGGAAACAATAACACTCTACAGGAAAAAGAACAGAAGAAGTTTTGATCAGTAATAGCTCTATATGATTACCAATTAATTAACACATACCTCATGTGCACTCATCTGAAAAGCTCGACTCTTTTGTTGAGATTGCTGTACGAGAGACTTTATCGCACTAGAATCAGTAGCATTAACACTAGGCACATTATTATCCTTCATTAAACTATTACTATCTACACCATTTACTGCAGGAACTGGATTGTCAGGGAGAGCAACCAATGTTGTTGAGCCATTTTCTTGAACTTTATCATGTTCGTTAGAGAGATAGTCTTGAAAACCAATCAGTGCAGTGCCAGAACCATTCAATTTATCATTATCATTCATGTTCTCCAGAAATTTTGAAGAATCTACAGTCTCAAAGCTTTTAAGAGCCTGCCCACATATCATAGATGGTGACAACTTAGTGGGTGTTTTTTCCCCTGGGGAAACCATGATGTCCAGTTGCTGTAATATTTTCGAAGCCACCTGACTGGACTTGGATGGAACAGTGGTAAAACTTGTGGCAGGAGTGCTGTTCACCCCCTTCTCAGCTAGACTATCTAAACCAGTTGAACTAGTGCCAGCTTCGTGAGCAGATAGAGGACCCGCTGAAGCTGGTAAAGTTAAGGTTCTTGAAGAAAGAAGATTGGACTTCTGACGAATCCGCCGAATTGGGCCAACTGATCCAATATCATTATCTAATACCGAATTTCTGCGCTTCAAAACCTGCAAAGAAAATAAATGCATACTATATGATACACTTTAGATTTATAAAACAAAATCCTGGAAGGGAGAAATACAATGACCCTAAATTAGTACCCCCTGTCTGGAACCAGAAATTCTGTTTTGCTCCCATGCACTCTGCGGCAATGATGGTCCACCAAAAGCAACACTTGCAGTTCCAGAACTCTACGGAATAAGCGAACTAGGATAAGACAAATGATAAACAAGCAATTACAGGTAAGGAAATATTACCAAGCATAACGACCTTAAGGGGAAGTGCTGTGGTAACCTTGGAATAAGGTGTCCGCGCCATGCTATATATTGCAGACCTGCCCTTCAATCTTGGGGTCATAAAACTGTTTCTAAGACTCCCAACATGACCAGAAGACCTTGGCACAAGCGACATTGTGGAAGGCGTAGAAGAGAGAATTTTATTGCTCGGAAAAGTTAAATCTTCACTGGGCACTTGATTTTGTAATCCAGGCCTTGATACAGGTACTTTCGTTGTCCTACAGCCCATGTAAGCTTTTACAAGCTCAGCAGGTGACGCAACAACCTCATCAAAAACCTGCAAAACCATTAAAGTTCTTCTTTTTAATTATTTTCCTTTCAATATATGAAATTAAAATTATAAAGACTAGTTAAAAGCATGTGAGGGTAAGTTAGCCCAGAAGCAAGATGAAGGAAAGAAAGCTTTTCCTTACAGTTGAGCTGACAAGAGGTGTTGAAATAAGATGGCTTTCAGTCACATTCTCTCTTACTGGGGTCTCTGGAAATTCTTCTTTCTTGTCCTGTGATACCATTGAGATCAAGGCAGATCTCTTTTCTTCATTTCCACCAGAAATGTCAGCACTTCTTGAGCGTAGTAAACTTGTCAAACGATCAATTTCAGATCTGAAAAAAGAATAATAACATTTATTATCTATAACATAGATAAAATTCATGTGGACAGAAATACTACTACTAGGATAGAAACAAACACGCTATGGCTGTCCCTTGTTCCCATATGTAATGGGGTAAGGGGGAGGTAAGATAGTAGGCTGCCCCAACACTAGGTTGAGAGCAGCTTCCGTAGGAGACCTCCGAATTATGAAATGCCCTCCATGGGACTCGATCCCATGACCTCAAGGTTAAGAACCTTGTGCTCTACCAACTGAGCTGGATGGTCATTTCACTGAAGTTTATTCCTACTCAAGCCGGACAATGAAAGAAAAATCACAAAGAATTACAAAAACATGTACAATTGGAAGCTGGATTGCCAGTAAATCGATTACAAAGGTTGCAGGAATAACAAGAATTTTTAGATCAACATGATTAAATCCAATTCACACTCAACTCAGCCCTTTTCTTCCAGTTGATGGAAAATAAAAGAAACAGAAACTTCAGAATCTAAAGTGCAGGAAATTATCACAAGTGACACGATTCAAAAAATTCCTTCAAAAGAAGGTAGCAGAATTAACCTATGTTACTCAGGCTCGGGTGTAAGTGTCAGACACGGGTATGTATCTGACAAGGGTATGGTCAGGTTTTCTAAGTTTTTCTATACATTTGAATGATCCTTTGAGATCTATCCCCATATCCAAGTGTCAGACACCGTTTCTTCATGAAAAATGAAGAGTCCGAGCAACATAAGATGCAATTTCAATTTGACATCAAGAAGATGCAATTTCAACTCGTCTTGCCTGGTAAATGTCTTCCGCTTTAAAATTTCCTCAAGTTCAGCAACTCCAGTTTTTTCAGTAAGATTAACGGGATTCCCACATCCTATAATGGCTCCTTGCACGACAGGAGAAACCTAAGTGGATAAATGTACATAAAACAACAAAGCATACAAGTTCGGTTCATTAATCATCACAGAGAAAATCACAAAGGGGAAGTTCAAATAAATACGTAAGAAAATATCATAAATATAAGTGACTGACAATAAACTTGAAAGTAACTTCCACAATTAACAATGAATGAAGGGGGCATGAGAATTTAGGACAAAGTTTGTCCCTAACATTTATTGCATGTGTGCTAATGTTCTATTGCTCTAGACAGAAGATAACATAGCAAGAAATGGATGTGTCTGGTCACAAACAAATATGAGTGCTCTGTGTTTCACTTACAGTGAACAAATCTAGTTAAGGCTTTGGTGAATATAGGAGAAAAGTATAAAAATGAGAAGAACAGATTAATTGTTTCAAATAAAAAATAGAATAGAAACATTTTCTTTTTCAAACAAAATGAGAAGGGAATGCTAAATGGTTCATGATCAAATTTATGTTCATCAAACTTTATTAGTTTGAACCACTTAGAAAGTTCCAATACCAAATAAGTATCATTCTCATTCTAAAAAGTATTTGACATACATAAAATATATATTAAAAGGTTTTCAAGGAAGTAAAAAAGGTAATAAAAACGTTACAAGAAAACTAAAAGGAATACCACAAATGGATATGTTTTAAGTCAAAAAATGAAAAGCTGGACAGAACATAAAAACAACTAGTTTAAATAATACGTACTGTTGAAGTCGCTTCTGGTTGATTCTCCCTTGGTTCCTCATTAGTCCCTGATGGAATTATCGCATGTAATCAACATAATTGGAAAAAAAGGAATAAAACTAATTCATGGTAATTTGATCTTCAACCATGCCTAACATAAAAAAACTCATACACAAGCAGAGTTTAATCACCAATTATAATTTACTCAGGGCATCTTGATTCCTATCAATAACTAGTTGACATATATTAAAGTACACATTAATTTCAAAGTAAAACAAAATGGCGTCTTCAAGACAGGTTCGAACTTAGTCCATATTACATTTAAATGAAGCATATATCAGCTAAATGAGAGATATTGTATACAATAAAGAAAAATCCAATAATTATATATAAATTATAAAGAAGATTATTATTCATATGAAACAATTTCTTATACTTAAGATTACAAATCGAAATAAATAAAACCCTAACTCCCAGAAGACTTCCTCTACCAGAAAGAATAAATTTTCTAACCAAGCTTTGACAAACTACCACTCCAGACTCAATATTAAGAGAAACCTAACCGAGCTCATTTCCAAAAAAGAAAAATCAGTGGTTTTTATCGAGGAAGATTCTCCCCGTATTTTAATGTCAGAACAATAAAATAGAACCGAGGAGAAAACTCACCAGAGTCCGGCAATTGCGGTGTCTGAAGCGGCGGCGGAGGGAGGCGTTTCGTAAAGACAGAAGCGAAGAGCCTGTGAGCACTGGAAGTAAAAAGTCTCCGCGCTGGATCCACCAATTTTGATAACCAACCATTTCTATCGCCGGTACCGGCGGGGTTCCTTATTGAGGTCGGCGGCCTGTCATATGGCGTAGTTTTTGTTGCCCTCCGTAACGGCCGTTTTCTGAATTTCCCCCCGGCTCCTAATCCACCTTCATAGGGGTTACCCTCCTCACGTGCCGTAGCCATCAGAGAAACAGAAAAGGGGGAATGAAAGTTAGGTTTAGCTTTAGGGATTTTGAGGAAAATTCTTAAGAGAAATGAAAAGTTGGTTAATTAGGGTTTTTATATATTGTATTTTATACAGAAAAAATGATATTAAAAGAAAAAAGAAAATCAGTGCTAATAATGGATACAAGCATACGTATTTTTGGTATATTTGTAAGATGACAGTGATAATATCTCAGTCACAGGTCAGAGATCTAAAAGAATGTAACAGGCGAGGATCGGAAGTTGGGTTTTTAACATGTATGATTAACCGTGTTTTTTTAAGGGAAACTAAATATTTAGTGATCAAATTATTCGAATAATTTCGTTTTAGTCATTTAATTATTTTTTTCATAATCATATTTAAAGTTAGGTTTTGATTTTATTTTAATCACGCATCACATGAAAAGTTTGGTGACTAAATTTAAACTTATGCACACATATAAATTACGTTGTTGGAACCCAGATCACCCAAAGAGAATAATAATTCATTTAACTACTAGGACCGCTCCAAAAGTCCATTTATTTAAATGATGTTAAATAATTATTATTTTAATATTTTATCTAAAAGGTTTAAGAATAATACTTAAACGATTATAATGATTGTATAAAATTTGAGATAAATTAAAATATAAAAATATGTTAAAAAAATTCAAATATAGTGTATCATAAAAAAATAACATAAAATAGTAAGGTATAAGTTGATTGATCAAATTCAGATATGTCAATTAATTTTTGAGAATGCATAATTTAATAATTTAAACCAACTTATTTTGTTTTCACTTTAGAGATGTGTAGAATTTTTCTTTCAATTTAATCATTAAACTTTTATGAACTAAATTCTATGAATTGATCTTCCATCCAATAGTTCATGTAACACCTATAACCCGTATAATTATACCTATACAGATTATAGATGTCATCCGTATTAAAAAAACATTTCATAATTCAAAAGCTATTTAAAATTTATTTCCTTAAAATAGTAATTAATATTATAAAAATACCATGTCATATAAATCATGTTCCGTTGTAACCAATTTAATTCAAAAGATTTATTTTATATGAATAGTGAATAGTTCCCGTGAACAGTTACATTGAATAGTGGGGGAATCGATTCCCTGTAGCAGAGGAATCGGTTCCCTTTTAGAATCTGGAAATTTGCCAAAATGCGGTTACTGTAGCAATGAATAGTAACTACTACAGTAACTGCGAAAATATATATAAGTTTATAAAATTCTATTTTCTTGTTTCCAATTTTGTTCAGCAAAGCAAATAAAACATAATAATACATAATAATTACATAATAATTACATGCCACTAATTAAATCTATATTACATTTTAGGATGTCTTACTGATAAAGAAATATACTTCTTGATACTTGATGTTGCCTTGAACTCTCTATTCTTCTACGAGCTTTTTACCTACGCGTGAAATTCATCACACGCTAAGTATATACTTAGTGAGGCAATTAAAACATTTTACAGTACAATACAATTCATGCAAAATTTTATCATAAAAACCAATTACCTTACAATCATATTATCAGCATATCCAATATTTTACCATGATAAAAAATAATATAATTGAATATAAAATTCCTTACTAATATACTTGCCATTAATTTCTCAAGCTCGTAAGCTTAATTTCATGCTTACCATTTATTAACCAATAATGTATAAAACCATAGACAATAGCCCAATATACAACCCTGAGGACCCTGGGTATACGAGTAAAATACATGCACCGTAGTGCTAAACCTGCACTAAGCTTACGCCATAGTGCTAATCCGGACAACACACATAAGGTCGTGCCCACCACCTACACTAAGCTTACGCTATAGTGCTAATCCGGACATAAACCTGCACTTAGTGTCCTTACACACTATAGTGCTAATATAAACCTGCAGCTGCTATACTCTATGGCATGCCAACTATACCCTGTCCCTCAATGACTTATTCGGGCATATAGTCTACTTTATTCAATACATCCATGGCAAAGTATATTATTATAATTTAACATTGGGCAGTTCATACCCGAAATAACATTCATGGTAAAATATCACATTTTCAAAAATCAAAGCATTACAATTTCATACTATGACATATCAATGTCCTATCAATTTATAAAAATATGATATAATATCATGCTATAAAACAAGGTCGACTTATCGCAAGTCTTCCTGATGATGTATAATACATCCGTATAATTTCATGCATGTGTTGCACTCACCTTGACACTTTATAATTTTCCAAAATAAGCCTCACTATTGTCCACAATAACCCTTTTCTTTTATACTCGAATCGTTTTGAACACCGAGTAAATCACAATCTGTACAAAATATAGATTCATACTTATATATGTTAGTATTGTACTAACATAAATATATAACCAAAATATATTCCATAATCGTGCTTCAAACTATTCACCACCATTTACTTTAACATTATTAATTCTTTTTAGTATTGGAACCAACTTTTCCAATTTACTCAAAATGGTCCTTCACCATTTTATCACCTAAATCTTTAATACCAAAAATTCCAGTATAGCACATCAATTATATAGCACTTACACAATAATCCCTCAATTTTTCTAGAATTTACGAATTGATCTCCAACTTTTCAAAACTTACAAAATGATCCCTAATTTTTCTAAGGCTTGTATAATACTTCCTTCATCATTTCCAACTCATATATAATTTTCCATAATTTTTCTCACTCAAACAAATCCATGATCAAAACTCATAGAACAAATTCTCAAAAGATCAAACATGTTCTAATCATCACACATGCTTGAATATAATCTACTGCCTCACAAAACATCAAAATCCATCATCAATTTCATGATCCCTTTTTATGAACACAAACCCTTAAATTTAGGATCTTTGAACACCAACAAGATTACCATGCCATATTGGTACCAAAAGATAGAGTTTTTCTCATACAACCATTTTCTATTTACAACTTACACAAAATATTGAATCAAATTGCTTGAAAATGGAGTTGGAATTTTCTCTTACCTTTGGAGAAACCCACGGCTGATTTTGGGAGAAGAAGATGAACAATTGAAATGATATGTTGGGTCATATCATAATATTTTACATTATAATCCACTTAAATGAATATAATATTCACTTAATTGGGATAAGACCAATTTACCCTTAATGAATCTTCTTATTTACCATAAAACCATGACAACTCATCCTTATCATAATTCAAAGTCAAAGATGAAATATTTTGACTTTAAATTTCCGAATTTTCCCATGAAATTTCAAAACTTGCATTTTAGTCACCAAATTCCACTGTTTCAATTAAATATGAAAAATTCCATATTTTTAGACCAAATTTCTTTGATCCAAAATATTAAAATAATATTTCCAACCATTTTATAACATCCTTCAAATTTTTGTAAAATTCCAATTCAATTTGAAATTACCGATTCCTTACCGGTTTTAACCATTTCTAATTTTTCTTTACCAAATTCCAAATATAATTCCATAAAACCCCACTCTCAAGAGTAAACTATCTATTTATGAAATAAAATTCTTTTCAAGAACTTTACCACTTAATTTCCTAAAATTTCTTCCAAGTTTAATACTTTGACCATCACACTTTCAAAAGTTATATTTTGATCACTAACCAAAATTTGGGGTATTACAATTCTCCCCTCCTTAATAAAATTCGTCCTCGAATTTTTTCTTTATACGATTATGATGAAAACATATGAGGTCCTCATGTCCTCCTCCCTTTCCCACGTAGCTTCCTCGACTTTATGATTTTGCCAAAGTACTTTAACAAGGGGAATTGTCTTGCTACGCAATTCTTTGATTTCTCGAGCTAAGATCCGAACTGGTTCTTCTTCATAAGTCAAATCTGGTCGGATTTCAATTTTCTCTGGTGCAATGACATGCGAAGGATCTTATCGATACTTCCTAAGCATCGACACATGAAACACATTATGAACCTTATCCAATTCTGGAGGTAGTGCTAACTGATACGCCACGGGTCCAACTCTCTTTAATATTTCATAAGGTCCAATGAATCTTGGACTTAATTTTCCTTTGCGCCCAAATCGAAATATCTTTTTCCAAGGTGATACCTTAAGAAAAACTTTATCGCCTTCATGGAATTCAATCTCTTTTCGCTTCAAATCTGCATAAGACTTCTGACGATCAGCTGCAATCTTGAGATTATCTTGGATTATTCTCACTTTATCTTCAACCTCCTTCAATAAATCAGGACCAACAAGATTTCGATCTTTCAACTCGAACCAATTTAATGGTGTCCGACACTTTCTTCCGTATAAAGCTTCGTAAAGAGCCATCTTAATGCTCGATTGATAACTGTTATTGTAAGCAAATTCTGCTAGAGGCAAATACTTTTCCCAAGATCCTTCGAACTCAATCACACATGCCCTTAACATATCCTCCAAAATCTGGATAGTTCGCTCAGACTGACCATCCGTCTGTGGATGAAATGCCGTACTGAAATTCAATCGAGTACCCAAAGCTTTATGCAAAGAATTCCAAAATCTAGAAGTAAACCTTGGATCTCTGTCAGATAAGATTGATATTGGCACTCCATGTAGCCGAACTATTTCCTTGATATACAACTCTGCATATTTATCCAAGGCATAATCCATTCGCACCGGAATAAAATGTGCCGATTTAGTTAACCGGTCAACTATCACCCAAATGGAATCCTTCTTATTTGATGTCAATGGTAGCCCTGTAACAAAATCCATAGTATTTGCCTCATTAAGTCAACGATTTAGCGTGTGATTGTTTCATACGTAGGTTTGAAGAAATCAGAGGATTGAGGTTAGGAGAGGACATCATACTCCCGTGAAGATCATATTAGAACAATTTTAAATGTAGGTTTCTTTTAAATTGTAAATTGTTGGCATGTACTACAAGTTAAATTGAAATGCTCTGATCTATTTTGTAAACTTATACTTTTGTATTTATGTAAATTATTAAATGTTTAATTAAATATTAATATGAGTTTTATTATTTGTTTTAAATTAAGGGTTCCATCATTTTAATACAAATAAAGTTGAAATTTCTCTATTTTTTTTAATA